TGTCATGAGGCTCATGTGTTTAAACAATTCAAAAGGCTCATTTGTGCTTGCATAACTTTCCCACTTATCCTGCCAACAATGAGAGAACAGATGTGTCAGAAGAAAATTGTACATAGCATGATCAGCTACATGAAATGTGTTTTGTATTGATCACTAAGCAATCCACATGTCTACGTAACTTTTTACATGAACTCTTGTGTGATAAACTTATTTAGCAACTAACAGCTTCCTCTTTTCTAAGAACATACAGACTTAGAAAAGGGGAACCTCAGCTCTAAGTTCTTGGAATAACTTTGTTACCTTTGTACACACACAAGCTTGTATAAACAAAGAACGCAGACAGTGACAGAGCGCGAGTCCGTGAGTGCCTCTTGCGAGTACGAGCGCTCTGTGACCGTCCTCTCGAGTAAAGACAACTGCAGTGTTTGTGTTTTCTAACTCAGGCGTCACAGCTGAAGAACTGTGGGGTGATTCTTAGAAATCCCCTGTCATTTAAATTGGTCCTTCGAGCTGGATAGATGAGTTGCTGGCTGTGTCGTAAGTACCCATCCTAATGTGTACCTCATGCATCCTGTTCTACGACCCTGAAGCCATCCTTCATGTGTTTCTTCAGTTTTTTTCATATCTGTCTCTTTCAACTTGAGTCAAAACGTGACCTAACTCCCTCCAATCTGTGTTTTCATTTCGTGCTACAGACACGCGTCGTTTTGGCATTCTACTCAGTTCCTGTACTTTTTCTGTTTGTATCACTGAGCACACAGCATTGCCACTTTTAGTTACATAGAGGTGCTGCAAGGTAAGCTTCTGTGGGCCTAATCTGTGAATTTGTGTGTCATATGAAGGATCTTTGTTTAAATCTTAGGGTGTTGTGATACTCATCAAAAGCAATTGGTCGGGAGTCTGGTGGCAAATACTTCTCTGCCAACCTCTGTAGAGGCTCTAATGGTGGAAGGTCTAGAGTCTAATAGTAGTGGGACACTCCTTTTCCCGCACTGCTATAATTAATCTGTCCCTCTTCTTCTACCTCTTCATAGTTTAACATTAATTCTGCGTGCACGCCTTGTGCTCCTAGCACTACGCCAATTTTTAATTTTTCCATGCTGTCTCTCCCTAGGAGGTTGACTGGAAAGGATGGATCGTATATACATTGGTTTTTACAGCTCTTGCCACTTTCTCTATGCACTAGCAGTAGCCCTTCTGTTAGAGATTTTACACTAGTGTGACCTGATGCAGACTCAACTATCAGGGTCTCTTTTGAAAATTTCAGGTTATTAGGTTTTTGATTTAGCACGGTTTTGCATGCACCTGTGTCGCATAACATAGTTACGTAAATTTTTAGTATGGGTCTCTCTCCTAACAGTGTAACTAGTTCATGCACGTTAAACACTTCTGTATCATCCTGTTTTTCCTCACTTCCTTGCTCTCTGTCTAGTCAATCTTCGTTCCTACCTTCTCTCTTAGAAATCCCCTGTCAAGATGTGATCTCTCTGCAGGATCCAGACACTGCTCCTGCTTTACTTCTATGATATTTACTGACACGTGCTGACCAACACATCACGACTTTGATTTTATTTATCAATTATGCAACTAAATTGTCTTCAACGTACCAACATAGTCTCAGCAGACTCTGACATCAATTTTACGTATGGTTTC